GCAGATTGGGCTATACTCAAGTATATATGATAAATGAAGTTTTTAAAACCCAGCATTCCTAAATCCAATCTTTAAAGCTTTTCACTGGTACATTTAGAAGGTAAAAAAATGGTATTGAAAATAAAAAATATTTGCTACACCAAGTGATAACACTAATATATTGCAGTGATATGCTTAGTAATTGTACTTGTTTTAAAATGTCTAGGTAAATGAAACCATCCTAAGACCTTTAAACGTAGAACCACCTCTAACAGACTTACAGAAAAGTGAAGAACTAATCAAAAAGGAAATGATCACAATGCTTCATTATGATCTTGTCCATCACCCTTACGAGCCATCTGGAAATAAAAAGGGAAAAACCGTCGGCTTTGCTACCAGTAATCCAGAGCACGTGGCCTATCTGGAGCATAACCCATATGAAAAGTTCTCCAAGGAGGAGCTGAAAAAGGTGAGCCGGAGCAGGGATGTGTCCGCCCCACAGTTTAGTATTTTTTAAGTGCTGTTTATGTCCTGGACATCAGTAACTTGTTTCCCACAGTTTAGTATTTTTTAAGTGCTGTTTATGTCCTGGACATCAGTAACTTGTTTTTCTTCGTTGACATCCATAACCCACTCAGTCATATGGGTGAGAGATAGATGATGTTCTTTCTCTTCTTCTTTTAAGGCTCTTGAGAAGGATGTGCTTTGAACCCCTTCCTTTCCTAGACATTCTGTGACAGATGTTTATGAGGTCCGGGTGTTTATGTGTCCTGACTCCATGCCTGCATGACAGTTGCCCCAGCAGCCACCTTTGTGTTCCTCAGCTCTGCCGTTTCTGAATGCAGCTGAATACCTTTATGAGGTTTCACGTTTACTTAGACTTACACGAAAAGGCACGACTACACTAAATTTTTTTAGATTAAACCTTTTACCTGTTCAAAGAAAGGAAATATTTTGTACTGAATTTATTTTCCTCGCACATACCTCCTATTCTTTTGGAGAAGGAAATCATTTTTTGTTTGTTTGCGTAAAGCTCGTATCCTGCCATTTTCTCCATATGCCATTTTTTCCTTTCTGCTGTGACAGAGCATATGGCTAAGAATAGAAATCCCTACAACGAGTGAGAAGTACAGTTGGCTTCATAGTTGGAAACAGGTCATTAGCTGTCATTCTGTCTCATCTATCTGTGTGGTGGAATCTTTTACCAAGAGCATCCGTTTTGTCTGTTCTCTCTGTTAAGGCTCTTGGTTAGTCTAAAGGCAGAGTGCTTACTAACTGTGTTAGTCTGCGTTGACTAGAGAAACAAATTCTTAGACACTCGTGTATAAGAAAGAGCTTTATATACAAGAGCAATTGAATATTGAGAAAACATCCCAGCCCAGTCCAGATCAAGTCCATAAGTCTGATATTAACTCATATGTCTGGTATCATTCTGTAAAGTCCTCTTCAGACTCATGAAACACATGCAGTAACGCTGAATGCAGGAAGCTCACAGGCCAGTAGGTGGCAAGTCTTGTGGATCCAGAGGTGGTATAAGCATCTCAGTGCTGGTGTGGGTCTTCACATGGCTCCTCCAGCTCCAGGGCTATAGCATAGCTCCATGTGTCTTGTCAACAGGAATGTCTCGCAGGGAGTGAGCAGAGTGTCTTCAGTCTCCTGGGAGGGAAACGAGAGTTCCCAGCATCTTCAGTAGAAGGCCATCCCCCCATCACATGGAGGCCTCATTGGCGATGGTCTGATTGACAGGCTAGACTCCACCCCTTTACAAGTTGACAGGAGGAGATGATGTAACTGCCACAGTGTGGAGGGAGTTGGGGGTAAGGAAGGACACATTCTTCCATGTCTAGTACAATGGCCACAGAGAACTCAGATGGCAGGACTGTGGGGTCTTGTTAGGAAAGATAACAGCGTACCACGGGCAAGGTCAGAAAGCATTACAGATGCAGTCTTTGGTCCACAGCAGTGCCTCTTCTCAGGCAGCAGCCAAGTCTTTCTCTGGGCCTCAGTCACGAGGTCACTTGGCCTTTGTCTCTGGGGGCGCCAGTAAGTCCACATGCCACTCTGCCTCATAGCCGTGGCTGCTCTGCTCTGGTGCCTTTGCCACTTGGGTCACGGATCTTATCACCTTCCAC